ACCCCTTAACAGCCGAGCGAGTGGAGTCAGAAACCGAGCGCGCAGAGAGGCTCCTGCGCGCGCACATTTTCCTCTGCCGTGTGCTCGTTGGTAACGCGCGCATGCAGGTTTGTCACTTGTGCACATCCTTGTGCGCTCACAGACACAGTTTGCTCCCTCTCAGTGCACAAATGACCTCTCGCCATGTATATTTTCACTCGCGAGTCCCGTTCACACGTGCAATGTGGACCCGGTTTTGGCATGGGTCTAACCCCATATTAATTTGTAACTTGCTGTATGCTGGAGTGGCTGATTCTTCTGTTGCGAGGCTGCAAATTGCTCAGAATTTTGCGGCAAAGTTTTTAATGAGGACAAAGTAATAGGAACACATCACTCCTGTCATGGCAGGCTTGTGTTTCTTCCAGTGTGTTACCGGGCCAAGTTTAAAATCTTAACCTATGTTTACAAGGCATGGCAGTGCTCCTCCATATCTAACAGCTAGAGCTGAAGAAAATAATCTAATCATCAATGCATTGAGATGTAGACATGAACGATTATGAATTGACAAACTTTAATGAATCGTTAAAGAAGCACACCATAATCGATTATAGTGGAATGCAGCTTTTTTATTTTTTTTACTGCAGCACCAATGTCGCATCCAAAATTGTCAGAGGGGGATGTGTCCTCCCGCATTTACCGAGTAGGAAATATTGGTCCACCTTTATGTGGGGATTAAGGGCTGAGCGCTGAAGTTCTAACCTGAGGCCAAACCAGAACCAAGTAAGCCTGACGAGTTGAGTCAGATTTGGGCTGAGGAATTATGTTCATTGTGCGAGTTGAGTAGAGCAACACACTCGAACAGTGAAAGAGAGAGAGGCGTACAGAGTGTTTGCTCACTGAACAGAGGAGAGGATGACACACCTCTAAACACGTGTTATTATTCATCCTTATGTTTTAAGAAGTGCTTCAAAAAACTCTGGTTCAGTCATGCTCAGACCAAGGATTATAAAGCCAGTGTTGGGGACAGGCACGTGCGGGGGGGGGGGGGGGGGGGGGGGTGCTTGAGACCCTGCCCCTTTTGTCCCATGTGTCCAAAGTGCCCTTTTTGAGGTTTAATTATTTTTTTATATTTATTTATTTTAAAAAAAAATTAAATTTTTTTAAAGAATTTTCTGTTTGTGCTCCCTCAACAATAACAAAAATAATAATTAATAAAATTTCTGTTTAATAAAGGTATATAGCTGGCGTGAGTCACGTGACTGTACCGTCTCTTCCTCACGCCAGAGCGCACAGCAGGTTACAACAAGCTGCGAGCTCCCACGTTTCCTTCATGGCCGAGCGAGCGGTGCAGAGCTTTTAGGACAAACGGATTAACACCGGTAAGTAGGATGCACACTACTATACACAGTTATTAGATTATTTTGTACATTATTAAGTTGTTTTGTGGCACTAGGTGTGTGTGATATATATTACTAGCTGGGTGTGTGTCTGTGGCTGGGTACCGACTCTGAACCTCAGTAGCTTTAGGATTAACCAAAAACATTCTGTAAATAAGTACTTGTACGAAAATATTTTTTCAATCTTAAATATTGGGAATTTGCCAATAAAATGTCATTGTTGTTAACTAGGTGTCACAAAGTTTCATTCCTATCGCTGCTGCGTGTCACATGACTGGGGTCTCACACACGGCCCTGCTTCTTGTTTACAAAATCACTTCCTGGTTCGCAGACTGATAAAACTTGAACAAATTAAAAATTTAGCTACCTTTTGTGAAAGGAAATAAGAAAAATACTAAAGGTAACATCCGTCACAAGTTTTGTGTTACAAAATATTCAGTCCTTGTGTGTAAATTCTGTCCAGCGTTTTAGGGAACATAGTTTTGTTTTAGATTTTAAGGTTTCTCAGCCCTTCTGGTGGGGTTTATTGTTCACTAATACTAAGCATATTCTCAAAATGTTGGAGTTTATATTTGCTCTCTTTGTGAATGCATTGTATTAAAAACATTATGTTTTAAAGATGTACATTTAAAAAAACTACTGTTTTCACAGCAAACTTGTTTTATCTGTACAGTTCTCTGTTTTGCACAAAGTAGATAGTAAAACTGAATGAAAGCATAAACATATTGTTTTATTCTTTATTTTTATTATAATTACTAAAGCACTATGATTAAAATAGTATGGAAATATTCTGGATCATGAAGCAAATTTGTGGCCAAATTATATACAGTTGGTTTTCTGGATAAGGAATGAAATGTCCCAGTATGTGTATGCATGTTTTATATGCATAAAAAATATTTGTAAATTAATTATGATATATCATTGTACAGACATGCCTCGTAAGGAGAGGAGGCGGAAGCAGCGACAGAAGGAGCTATGTGAGGCAGCTAAAGGCAGTGGGTCCCTCACCAGCTGGAAAAAAAAGAAGAGTACAGGTAAGTAGCATCACAGCAACAAGTGTAGAAACAATAATATACACAACTGCAATGCTTTGATGCCAGAAAATGTTTTATGTTAGCTACTTGATCATGGATTAGGTGCAAGACCTGTTAAATGTGAATAACTACATAATTCATTCATACAATAGCTAATTTTGCCTTGTTCTCAGATGGACAGCAAGTGGAGAGTGATAGATCACATGATGAGATTGAAGACACACACACACACACACACACACACACACACACACACACACACACACACACACACACACACACACACACACACACACACACACACACACACACACACACACACACACACAACTCTTGCTGTTTATATTTCTGTCACATTCTTATCTCTGACATAAACTCCTCTATTATCCACTAATGTTTAGATTTCCATTTATTTACCACAGGTGTTGTCTCAGATATTTCTGTCTTACAGTTCTGAGAGTTTTCACCAATTTTTGCCATTTTTTTATGATCTTACATTAATTTTGTAATTGACTAACATTTCTCCTCTGTTCGTTTTACTACCTACAGTCTGAGATCAACACAGCCTTGCCCTCCAGCATCACCTGCAGCAGCAAGAGGAGCAACCCTGCAACAGCTACATTGTACCCATCATCAGGTAACATAGGACAGCAACAGATCAGGAGGTGGAGCAGGTTGTCCAGTAATCGGAAGGTTGCAGGTTTGATCCTGACTTCAATCAGAGATTGATGCTGTGTCCTTGAGCAAGACACTTAACCTGCTTTGCCTGCTGGTGGTGGTCGGAGGGACTGGTGGCGCCTGTGCTCAGCAGCTTCACCTCTGCCAGTGCGCTCCAGAGCAGCTATGGCTACATCATAGCTCATCACCATCAGTGTGTCAATGTGTGTGTGTGTGTGTGTGAATGACTGTGTTGTAATGTGCCTTGGGGGGTTGTAGAACCCTAAGAAGGCATTATACAAATACACTACTACATTTACCAAAAACAGTTACTTTTGCTTTACATTGTCCTTATGGTGTATATAATGATTCGCTTCCATTTTGAATTTCTAATAAATGTGATTGGTTATTCAGCCGGGTATGCTGTGGTTATGTCATGGTGTTAGAAAATATTATTCTGTGTGCCCCTTTTTAAATTTGAGCACCCGCCCCTTCAAAGGTCTCTGCACAGCCCTGGTTGGGGAGCGGGTTTGGGGTGACGGTGGCTGCAGGATCCAATAATCTGTCTCTTATTTAGAAACAGACTGTGCTGCTGTTCCATCCTGTGGAAGTTCTTGTTACACTTTACTCTTTTTTCATTTAATTAAAAACTAATGTTAAATTCAACTTAAAGAAAAACTGAGAGGAAGCTTTGTTTCATTTCAAGTTACAAGACATCTTGTTTTCTTCTTCCTCCATAGACATGAGGAGATAATTCATGTCAAAATGTTTGTGGGAATATTTAGTTAGTAAAGATCCATCAGCTGGGTAGATGGTTTAATCCTAATTCAGCCCACAGCCTCCTGCTGGTGTTATGATCAGCAAGAACTTGGTCCATACTCCTACATTTCTGAAATAAAACAATTAGGTTCAAACAAAATAAACTAAACCAAACATTTCATTTCGTGTTTTTCCTTATGCCCTTGAACTGCGGAAAAAATGTGATTCTAAAGTTGCTCAAACACATTAAAATGGATCCATGATGGATTTCATAACCTAAATGGAAGGCAAGAATTGGACATGTCATGTAGGTTTTCAGTATTTTTCAAGATTTTGTTACCATCTGTAGAGCAAGTTTTGCGTAAAACAAAAGGTGATCTGGCCTTCTCAGTAATGGCTCCATCCCTCTGGAACGGTCTACCATTGGCATTTAAGCAAGCACCATCAATGCAATCATTTAATTATCAACTGAAGACTTTTTTTTTTTTACAAGTTAGCTTTTAATACAGTGTTTCATGAGGGTAAAAACCCATGACCGTTATTGGTGGGTATTTTTATAATTGTACCTTTTTGAGGCCTAAAAGATGCCCAATTTGTGTTAACACTTCATGAATCTCTGTGTTTGCCAACTGTGGCTGTTCATGAAAGGTTGAGCAGAGAAGCTCGTTTGCAGTCAAGGATGTTTTCAACTGAAACCTTTGCAACTCTGTAACCTCTCCATCCTTTGCTAAATAAAACCCCTGGCTAACTGAGAATACATGGGAGTTACGTGGGGTTAGCCTTGGAGGAGGTTTTCCTCTGCGTTAACTCTCCATTATTTTGGGGACTCAGGGTAAAATGCCTTCCTTGTTCTCATGAGTGTTTATTTCAGGTTCCAGGGTTATGGAGATTAAATATTACCCAACATTTTGGTGGAGAATGCGGGTATGCAGAGTGGGGACTGGGTTTCTGCGCCCAGCTCTCGCATGACGATTCATGGACATTACGAATAATAATCTAGTCTCTCTATGTGTGTGTCGTCCTTTAAGGTAATATGGGATAAATGAAAAATTACCTATCAGTTATTGTACTGTTTTTATTACTGTTTATTGCCATATTGTGATTGTTGTATGCCATGTTCAGTGCTTTGGATCACCTTTGCAGGTGTGGAAAACGCTATACAAATAAAACCTGATTGATTGACATGAATTTATTAAAATGGGCTTACTTTGAGGGATTATCTGTTACCAAACCATGCAAATACAATTCAGTCTGTACAATTATCTTGAAAACAATCTTGCTGCAATCATAATGCTTGTTTTACTAGATCGATAATGTTTGATTACTGCCGTTAACACCAGGGTGACAGATAATCTTTGTGGTCAGCTGTTAGCTGTGCCCTCGGAGTCTGGAGACTGCAGGAACTCATAGGGATCATGAACCATTTCAGAATGATCTCCGACAACCAGGTGTGATGGGCTACCTGTGGATTCAAGAAAACATGACTTTTTAGGTGAGATAAACAGCTGATCCAAGCACGACTTTTAAGGATGACCTATCTTTAAGATAAAAAAGGCTGTATATACCTAAGTGGTGCTGGTCTCTCTCTGAAGAAAGGGAGGACAGATTGGACGACGGTCTGGAGCAAACTCTGTCCACCTGAGCTTCCTGGAACTCATGCAGGAGCTTTTCAGCATCATCAAAATGCTGGTGGTCTTCCTCATTCCCAGGCTCTTTTTTTACGGTTTTATCTGATTTCAAAAAGAGGAAAGTAAAGTTACAATTAAAAGAAAAAATGCACTTTTAAATTTCATTGTCGCCAGTGCTCAGCATAAATGAGTACTATATTTGTCAGAAATCCTTTAGTTTCCTTTCAGAATCAACATGTTCTATGAGACACCAACCTACAAAATACTCTCACAAATGTGGGCCATTGATTGCAAACATTTGTTAATTTTCACAAACAAAAAAGCGATTTTCCTAACAAATCTATTCAATTCAATAGTTGCAAAACTGAGTACACGCCAATTATAGTCTTATAAGAAAAACCAGACTTAAGACTATAAAATTTTAATTAACAGGCATTCAACCACAGGTGAGGCTAATGATTCATGTAAGACATGTCCAGCAGACAGGTTACTTAACAAAGAGAGGCCCTTCCCATTTCATGCTGTCAGCAACGGCTCCACATAGAAGAGAAATGTCTCAAAATCTGAGAAAGGAAATCATGTCTTTACACAAAAAGGTGAGGGCTACAAGAAGAAAGCTTTACATATCAGTCAGAATACTGTAGCAAAGTGATCCAAAAGTTTTAAGAAAGATAAAAGTGCAGCCATCTTACAGAGACCTCCAGGTCGTCCACGGAAGTTAAGATCCCGACAGGAGCATCTTCTGATGAGAAGGTGAAGAAAATCACCATGCAAGTTCACTGCAGTTAGCTAAAGCAGTAGAAAGTCAAGATGGAATGATCGTTTCCTGTGACACCATACAGCACACACTGCAGAGGAATGGCATGCATGGGCATCGTCAATCAAGGAAGTCTCTCCTAACACCCATGCACAAGAAAGCATGCCTAGGATTTGCTAGGGCCCATGCTGAAAGAGATGAAGACCACTGGCACTCTAGAATTTGGCGTGATGAGACAAAGATCACAGTTTTTGGAACTAAACTGTGTGGCATCGTAACGTTGGGAATTTCAAAGAGAAATGCATGGTGTCTATAGTGGAGCATGGTAGTGGTGGTGTCCTTATGTGGGGCTGCATGAGTGCTGCTGGTGTTGGGGAGCTGCATTTCATTGATGGCATCATGAACTCAACAATGTACTGCTCTATACTAAAGGAGAAGATGCTGCCATCTTTGCACTTGGTCATCGTGCCCTTTTCCAACACCACAATGATCCAAAACACACCAAAATCAAGGGCTACTCTCACCCCAGTAACCATCCGCGTGACCTGCTACCGTCAGGCACACAGTACAGGTCACAGGACTAACTGATTCAGGGATAGCTTCTTCCCCAGAGCCATCACCGTAGTAAACAACCACAAAACCAGATGAACCTGTAAACCCGCACCACACACTTACTGTTGCAATATTGATCATGTACATTAATATGTGCTATTTGTGTTTACTCAATATGCAAAAAAAAAATTCTGCTTACAATAGTGACCTGCACAGAACCCAACTAATGCTGCTACATCATAATGCTCCTACTGTGTATGTTTTACTGTTGCTTTTACATTTATATTGTTTCTGTATTCTTTTACACTTTGCACCAAATGGAGTGGCATTCCATTTTTGCTGTACCCTTACAATGACAATAAAGCCTATTCTATTCTAAAGCTACCGTAGCATTTCTGAAGGGGGTTAGGGTTAGAACAGGAAAAAGGTGATTGAACGGCCAAGTGTGTCTCCTGATCCGAATCCAATCGAACACCTGTGGGGAATTCTGAAGCAGTAAGTTGAGCATCACTCTCCATCCAGCATGCAGAATGGAAAAAGACAGATGTTGCAATATGTTGCTATCTTGTTCATTCCATGGCTAAAAGACTTGGTGCTGTCCTTGAAAATCACGGTGCTCATAATAAATACTAGTTGTACTAGTATTTCTGAAGGGCATATTTATTTTTGCTTCAACCAATTTGCTGCTTAATTATTGATTTTGGTGAATAAATCACAAATACTAATTGATTATCAAGGTAAAATATTCTATTATGGTAATAATTTTACACATTTAATTGCTTCCAAACACTATTGATTGAAGATAATCACCTAAGGGTGTAAGCATTGAAATATCCAGCGACATGTCAGAATAACTCTTCACTGACATGAAGTCCAGGACCGAACTGCTCTCTCCGAGGCCAGAACCATCCGACATCTAAAAAAACAAAATACACATCCAGCAAATCAAGAAGTAAGTCAGTGGGAACAAACAGAAGTAAAACTTGAATGTAAATAATATTGGTAAATGGTCTGTATTTATTAGGGATGGTCCGATCTGATCACGTGATTGGAAATCAGGCCAGATCACACGTTTTTGAAAGGATTGGAATTGGGAGAAGTAAATCAGATTTAGCCTTTTAAAACAACAAGCATGACTTTTAAAATTTACCCTGAGATAGAGATTTTCAAATAAATAAATTAAAATGACGTAGTTTTAATTTCATAAGTCCTTCTACATCATTAACATTTGTTTCTTGTACAAAACACCACAGTAATGCCACACAATTTATGGCAGGCAAGGACTCAGACACCAAGTGCCACTGTTAGCAAGCCTGCTATCACACAGCTAACGGGTCTCCTCAGGAGAGCTAAAATATCTGCAGCTTGGTGGTATTTTAAACCGAAGAGCAAAGGCAGAACTACAGACACTTGTCATGTGTGCATTCAACAAGCAGGAAGAGCACAGCTCCATGATTTGCTGTCTTCATTCAAGCTATTGTCGCTGTCAGCTTTTCCCTTCGAGCATCAACATAGCAAATTGCTGGTCTCCATTAATCCCCAGTTTACCTCTAACAGTCACAGTTCACAGTGAAGTCAGACAAAAACGTGGAGCCAGCCTACAGAGAAAGTTACGCTAATAAACAAAGAGGAATTGCCCAAAAACTGCTAATCATCAGGGTTTCTAGTTCTCCTGGAGCAGAACACAGGCAAGTATATATTATATATATATATATATATATATATATATATATATATATATATATAAATATATATACAGAAATATATATATATACATATATATATATATATTTATATAAATATATATACATAAATATATATATATACATGTATATATATATTTATGTATATATATATATATTTATATATATATATATATATATACATAAAAATGTATATATATACACATATATATATGTATATACATATTTATATATGTATATATGTATGTATAAATATATATGTATATGTAAATATATAAATATATATACATATATATATATATATATATATATATATATATATATATATTTACATATACATATATACATACATATATACATATATAAATATGTATATACATATACATACATATATATATACACATATACATATATATATGTATATACGTATACATTATATATGTATATACATATATACATATATATGTATATACATGTATATACATATACATATATATATGTATATACATATATAAATATATATATATATATGTATATACATATATACATACATATACACACACACACATATATATATGTATATATATATATATATATATATATATATATATATATATATATATACATATATATGTATATATGTATATACATATACATAAATATATATATACATATACATATATATATATATACATATACATATATACATATACATATATATATACATATATACATATACATACATATATATATATACATATACATATATATACATATATATACATATATACATATACATATATACATATACATATATATATATATATATATATATATATACATATACATGTATACATATATATATATATATACATATACATATATACATATATATATATATACATATATATACATATATACATATATACATATATACATATACATATATATATATATATATACATATATATATATATATATATATATATATATATATATATATATATATATATATATACACACACACATATACATACAGACTGAGCAATGCTTGATCCTGCAACGCTCTGGTTACGGGCCGGCGCTTAAGTCCTCTACCACCGTCGCCTCACAAGTATTAATGGGAGAACAACATACCTGTATGTCACAGATGCTGGAGTTGGTTTCATCAGGTTTCAACATTAGGTTTCGTTTCTGAAACATTAAAAAAAATCACTGACAGCAGAGCTTCAAAAGCAAAGCAAACTGTTGTAGAGGTTGTAAAGATGCTACACCTGTTGAATCTGACTGACAGCTCCTGAGTGGTCGCCACCAGTCATCTTGTCCAGAAGTTCGTCCACCCAAAGTTTTGTTGCACTTCCACAACCCTTCACAAAGTCCTGTATACTATGTGAGGAAAAAACAACAAATCTCACTGCAAATTCCGAGATAGCACTGGAAATTTTCCATAATCTCACGGTAATCCATAGAAAAACTAAAACTCTACCTTAGAGCACACTGTACCCCAGTCTCATCTCCATAAGCTGAATACAGTGCTTCTATCTCATCTGACTGCAGATCTGGAAAGATGGAGTTCTTCTGCAGACTCTGGATGTTGTAGGCACTGCTAAGAAAGGTTACTAAACAAACGAGAAACAAGAAAAAAAACGGTCATATTTTTGCTAACTGTCATTTTTCAAACAGTGCAATAAAAATGTGCACCACAAAAAAGCTCAATATAAAACATATGTCTTGATTTTAGGGCTGCAGCAAATGATTATTTGGATTATCGATGATTCGGTTGGGATCTTGACTCAATCGACTAACTAGGTTAAATGGGAAAATTTAAATCATATCAAACTTTATTTATAAAGCGCTTTTCATTTAAAAAAACTGTAACTCAAAGTGTTTTACAGATTAAAAAGACCCCACAAATCCCACAAAGGTCATTAACTAAATTACTTCATTAAAAACTGCTAGGGAAACATTTTTCTCTCCTTCTTTTACTTTATTTAACAACAAAGCATAATTAGAAAACAGTTCAGTTGCGTGCAAAACAACATGCTATCACCTAAATGAATCCATAATTAAACTATGATTAGTAAAAATGTTTGTATTTCATTAACATGTTCAGTAGTAAGCTAGTGGAATTGCTAATAATATTTAATTTCTATTGCATGGTGACATGTTCATTATGTACAGGCTAGCAATAAACCAATTTAAATTATGTTCACAGATAGACGCGTTAGTGAATTACATGCTACAGTGGCTTGCCATAATCCTGCAGCAGTGTTTGGCAGAGCAGACTCGAACCTGACGGCAGCGGTTCTGCTGCTGAAGTCAGCTAAGAATAAACAGGATGGTGGGGACTTTTCTTCCGCTTGCAGAGTTTAGATGTTCTTAGTTTCACAACCATCATGTTTTTTTCAGAACCCCACTTGATCATCAGCCTGCTACCTGCTAGCATTAGCTAATCTGCCCATAGTTGCTCTTTTTGATCCCAGACCGTTTCTGCTTTTGTGTCTTTGCTGGTTTCTGTTTTCCCACACCACCTAGGTTAGCTCATTGTGCGTCAGTAAGCAACTTACTGTTCTAAGAGTATCGTTGTTACTTATCAAAACACCGGCTTTCTCTCTCGTTCTGATCTGCCTCAGTCTGCTCCGTTTCCACCTACACATGAGCTGCGCGCATTGATTGTTAAATAAAGGCTGTGCAACACGAAAAAAAAAGTTGCACAACACAATAAATCGATGACAAAATGTGTTGCCAACGCATTTCAGCATCGATTTTTATCGATTCGTTGTTGCAGCCCTACGTTGATTTACCTTTATGTCTTCTATCGTCTTTAAATCCTAATGTTGTTAATCCAGGCATAAGTTTATGAGATAGAGAATTCAAATCCACTTTGTGAGTCTCCTCTTCTGCAAAAGGTAAAATAAATAGATTACATTTCTTTGTCACACAAGGAAGAAAATAAAGCTAAAAAGATGGTAAACAAAATGTGCAACATTAGCAAACCTTCTGCATCAGGATCAAGCTGGTTTACAACAGTATATAAAAGAGCTCCATCAAGGTCTCTACGCAAATATCCCATCTGAGTGAAAACAGCACAGAGTTCACTTAAAAATGATCACACACGCAAATGCACAGGCACACTTGCCATTCATCCCTGTGTGTCAAAACACATCTGTGGTCAAGTCAGTTCATGCTTACTGAACATTGTGTGTGTAAACATGTGTTAACGGAAACCTTGGAGTCTGGCATGTATCTGTTGATGCGATCGCGGGCTTCATCTGCAGAATGCTCAACCAGTGCCAGAACATGTTCCTCTGCTGTGCTGTCGGTTAAGCTGCACGCATTTCCCTCAGGTTCAAATAAATAACTGAGGACATGAAAAAATATATATATTTTAACAAATGTGCTGAGTATTGATCTAACAACCTATTGGCTTGTAGAAGCCATATCTGTTTCCAGTACAAATACAAAAACAAAACGCTTCTTACTTCATGTCTTTGACTGGTTGCTTTTTAGACTTTTTTACTGACTCAGCAGGAATGAAAATGGTTTCTGGAGGAGGAAGTTCAGCTATCAGGTCTTCGTCTCCCAAGATGGCTGCCTGCTGGGAGAAGTCCATGTCCTGCATGAAAGACATGCTGCGCTTCAGAGCCAAAAGCCGCTCCTGCACAACAAAACAATAAACAACAAAACAACAACAAAAAACCCTAATTAACTATTGGCAATGATAAGAAATGAAAGATGGGGTTGAAGACAGCAAAGTTTCACATAAGGACTTATAAGAATGATGAGGCAGTTCTACACCTCCGTCACTGAGTCTATCCTCACCTTCTCAAACACTGTGTGGTACGGTGGAGATAGTGATAGGTCCTGCAACACCGACGCATTTGTCAAGCTCATGGAGCGAAACCTGTGTCGATGTGTGTGTCACTTAAAGAAAAAGTCACGTGACCGACAGTGCTGCTGTGTCGCTCATTGCCAAGGCGCCAAACTGTGTTTATAAGGTATCGACTCTGCATCTGTCAACAGGTAGCCTGGCAAGCCAGACTAAATAAATGTATTAAACGCTCCATTGACGGCTCTCGGTTGTGGGGGGGGGGGGGGGGGGGGGGGTTCTACCGTTGTCTTTCAAATGATCTCCACATTCCACTGGACAATGAGTGTGACATACTCTTGTTTCACTCTGTTGCATCATCCCACCCACCAGGCATATAGAGTGCCCTGATTGGCCCACAAAGTGGATAAAGCTCTGTGATTTGTTCACTAAGCAGATAGAGCACTATGATTGGCCCACCATTATGGACCAATCACAGCTCTTTATGTGTTTGAAACCCCTCTAGAGAGCTATGATTGGCCAGCCAGAATGCTGTTGGGGCTGCAGAGTTTCCAATGGAGCGTGCCTAGACCAAACCTTGCAAAGCAAGAATTTGGTCTAGTTCACTAGGCTAGTCAACATCATGAGTTGCAGTGAAAAGCAAAAAAGTCCCATTTCAAAGGTAAAACAAGACATCCCTCTCTGCATCAAGAAAATGGAGCCAGAGAGAAAAAGAAAAGTTTCTGCTGTGTGGGATCATTTTGATCTTTTAACTGCAAATAAGGTACGTGTTTGTCTTTCCTTGTTTCTGCGCATCTGTCAGAGTTGAAAACAGCAATGTGACTGACTCTCAGTGCAAATTATTTATTTAGGTTAAATGTCGCACCTGCTCAGCTGAGTTGTCTTTTACAAATAGGAACACTTCCTCAATGCTGAGACATTATAGAGTCAAGCATGAAAATGAAGAGGAAGCAAATACACCAAGAACGAACACGGGTAGACCTATACACAGTCAGGTCCATAAATATTGGGACATCGACACAATGCTAACATTTTTGGCTCTATACACCACCACAGTGGATAACAAATGAAACAAACAAGATGTGCTTTAACTGCAGACTGTCACCTTTCATTTGAGGTATTTACATCCAAATCAGGTGAACGGTGTAGGAATTACAACAGTTTGCATATGTGCCGCCTAGGGGTTGCATGACTAGGGCTGTCGCGGTTGAGGAATTCCCCCTGCGGTGAGTCAGGGCAGCTCAATATTGCGGTATGCGATATTATTGCACCCCGTTTTTATTTATGTACTTAGCAAATTTGTTTGTTGATTACTAAACTCATGGCAATATTTCCTTTGAAACATTGTGCTTACATATTTAAAAAATGTTAGAAAAAATACATGGCCATTTTTAACACTTTATTGAATGCAGATCGAAGGGCAGTTACGGCATTTTCTGACTGAACTTAAAAACAACATTCAGGAGGTTTAACTTTGAAATGCAAATTTGGCTGCAACATATAACAGAAATAAAAAAAGTGCCCGTTTTGTTTTGTAGTTTAAAATAAAGTATACAAAATGAGATGTCCTAGGCACTGTCATTTCACTTTCACACACAAGAATAACTTATAACTCGGTCATGTCCTTGTTACGCGCAAGGAAAACCAGCATGTTAACCTTATGCGGTTTGAGAGAGGATCTGAGAGGGGTGACAACATTTCCAGCGACACTAAAAACCCTCTCGGATGGTGCGCTTGTTGCGCAAATACACATGTACTTACGTGCGACTTTGGAGAGCAATGGAAATCTCTCATGGTTTTTGCGCCGCCATGTCAGAGGGTTTTCATTAGGGTCAATGGGTTCCTGCTGCAGGTAGCGAGTGAGTTCCAGCTCGGCTCTAACTCTCTTCGGGACGGTTACAGAAGACGTCCTTGTCCGTGACTTCGGCACGTCTCCAAGCGTTTTTTTCTTTGCCGCTGGTGGCAGCACTGCCTGCTCCAAGGTCTCTGGCTGGGCTGCAGCTGACGCACTGACACCGCTCCCTTCATCTTCCATGTGTACTATCTCCTCGATCAGCGCGGACTTTACCTCTCAGCATGCGCTGTCGCGAGATTTAATCAAGTGCGGTAATGGCGGTGGCAGTCCTGCAGCGCGGTGGGTTTCTTAATATCGCGATATTTTCTTCTTGCGGTTACCGCGACAGCCCTATGCATGACTTAATTTTTTTTAAATTCGACAGTCAAGTAATGAAAATCAAGTCGACTTGGACTAGTCGCTGATGACGTCATACACCTGAAGCGGCGGGTGGGGGGGGGGGTGGGGGGGTGGGGGGGTCGGTAGGTTCGCTGGAGTTTTTGACAATTAAAATTGCGCCCACATTTTCTAAGTTAACATGTCTCTTTTAACAATGGTAGTTTCTGCTTCAGCCATCTCCCCCCTCCCCCTGCGCAGGGGCCGCAAACTCACTGATGTGCCTGCAGCCTCTCAGAGTTCCTGCTGCTCTAAACATTAAAATAATTATTTCATTTTCTGTTCCTCACTTCTGATTACCTTCAATGGTGTCTGTCTGTTGCAACCACAAGGTACAAAAACTAACTTGTTTTATTTGACCATTTTTCTGTCCTGTCTGTTTATTATCTTCCTGCATCTCCTCTCAATCCTAAAGAAAAACTGCTACCTGGGTTCATATATATTCACCTTATGAGTTACCTTTGAACTTCAGTTCTAAAAGATCTACCCACCACAAAAACAGCGGAGTGCCGCTGCTCGCCGGCCGACTACAAAGGGACCGCTTTTGCTGCGGAGTTCGTGCCGGAGCGGAGCGGAGCGAAGATAGTGGAATTTTGGGGGTGTGTCACCGGAGGACAAAACAGGTGATGCGCCTCGCTGTGCAGCAGCGAAACGCATCAGGCACAAATAACAGACAGAAAACATGAAAGGAAATGAGCCGACATGCACGATCGCGTGATTAATTTGTTTTTGAGGTGGTGACACCTGATTTGGCGGTGCTCAGGATGCAGATGTCTGGAGCGCGTCAACAATCAGAGCTTTGCATGCGCAAACTGGTTAAGATTAGGATGGGGGTGAGGGGAAAGTAAAATTGCAAGAGGGAAAAGGTCACAGTTTGGTTAAATGTCCGTTTTACTGCCGGTGTCAGTACCGAAGCTCTGGCACAGCGCGTCGCCTCCGCCTCCCAACGTGCAGGGGCTCATCACCTGCTGTCTTTTCCGAGGATTGCATCTTGTCATTATCATGTGACAGCGACTAGTCAATGACAGGCATAAAAAGTCACTACAGAGCCGTGAAGTCGATTAGTCGACTAGTTCATACAACCCCTAGTGCCTCCCACTTGTTAAGGGACCAAAAGTAATGGGACACTTGTCAGTCAATTGTCAAATGTAAGATGGATCAAGGACCTGAATCAAGCCCCTGAACCCTAAAGATCACTTAAAACCAGCAACTGGTAGAGTATTGTACATACCTCATTATGCCGTGTACCATCCAAAAAAACAAAAGTTGCGAGTAGTATTCGATTGTGGAGCAGAATCCAGAAGCATCTCATTGAATAACCAGCTTCTGCAAGGTCCAAACCTGACGCTCACTGATTGGAGAACTAATTAGATTTCGACAAGAGTCTGTAGCATTGATGGCAGACATTAAAGCAATGTTCCATCAAGTTAACGCGACTAAAGAGCACACCGATTTTTTACGTTTCCTTTAGTGGTCTCAAGGCGACTTGGAACAGATTCCAGAGGAATACAGGATGACTGTTCATTTAATTGGCGTAGTTTCATTGCCGAGCTGTGCCCGCTATGCCCTTAGAAGGACAGCCAAAGAAAATGAAGCTAACTATGCAGCAGATGTTGTAGAAACAGTCCACAAAAACTTTTATGTGGATGATCTTCTGAAAAGTGTGCCGACAGAAATGGATGCAATCATCATGGCAAAGGACCTCATGTCCATCTGCAGCAAGGGAGGTTTTACCTTAACTCAATGGACTAGCAATAAGAGAAGGGTGCTTCAAAACATTTCAGAAAGCAGCAGAGCACAAACCCTCTGTGACTTAGACTTAGAAAAAGACAGCCTGCCTATGAGTAGAGTATTAGGCATGCTATGGTGTGTTGAAACTGATAACATAAAGTTCAAACCAGAGGTTAAGGAAAGGCCAGTTACTAAAAGAGGAATGCTGTCTATAGTCAGCTCGGTGTATGATCCGTTAGGACTCCTAGCTCCTATTATCCTACCTGCGAAGCTACTCTTACAAAAATTATGTAGACTAAAATGCAATTGAGACAATCCTATACCAGACACATTCAAAAGGGGATGGGACAAATGGTTAAGGGATTTGAGAAGTTTGACAGTGTTTCAAGTCAATAGATGCCTTAAACCAGAAGGATTTGGAGAGGTGATAAACGCCTAAATGCATCACCTTTCGGATGCTTGCGAAAGTGGGTTAAGCCGGGCGTACACTGTGCGACTTTTTCACTCGCAGCACTCAGCTTCAGCTCACACTGTACGACTTCCTCGCAGAGCAGATCTCACGAGTCATGCGCTGACACTGTACGTCTGGTAGCAACACGTCGGCCCTAAAAATATGCTAAAAATAGCAGTTTTTACACAACACGTCAGACTTTTTGTCTTGCCTGTTGTCCTTCGGGAGTACTGCAGGAGGACACACAGGGATTTATGGGGGTTGGATGAGGAAAACGAAATAAAGAAAGTAAATCTGTGTTTTGTGATCAGTTTAATTTGACATGAACACGACAAACACGCTTTCTTGACAATCTTTGTGAGTAAAAAAAAAACGTGTAGAAATAAAAACGAACAGCGTGTGTTATTAGGGAAATAG